AGAGCTCAGCCGCGCACAGATCCAAAAGAACACACAGGCCAGGAGCAATAATTCAATCACTGGATAGCCCTTCAGCTGGGAAGTGAGAGTCTCCTGCACGTCTGCCACTTTCACCTGACTCTCAGCACTTGTACTAATGACAATAACAAGTATCTTCACAGCGGCGAGATTTGGGGGGAGACACCAGCCTTCTGGAATCAACTCCTGGTTTTCCCACCTTCCCCAGCCCTACGTTAGAGGGTTTGGGAAGTAGGCCTTGCCAAAAAGAAAAGGCCTGACTTGGTGCTTGGGTATCTTGCCTGGTCGTGCCACTGGGAGGGGAGCATGTTCCCGAAGCTGGTGGTGACCGGTGTTAAAGGCATGGGGCTGCACCTTTCCCTGTATCTTCAGCCATGGCTGGGAGGCCTGGCTCGCTGGACCAATGACCTCTTTCCCCAGAACAACTGCCGCATTCTTAAACTTCCAGTAGCATTGCTCTACCTTGACTTTCCTAATCTAGGGGCGGGAGCGCATATTTCTGACAGAGTTAGCTGCTGAAACCTTGCCATTTCCTGGGAACGGTAGCAGCCTGGCTTGGGTCAGCAGTGACCTGTCCAAGGGCCACTTATTTAGAGGTCATGAACCTGCTGGTTTAAAAAGGATTAAGTACAAAAACTGTGCACGCTTTGCAAAATGGAGCATGCTGGTGGCATGAGCTGGATGACTATTTGGGCTTGAGAGTCCCAAGTAAAACGCCTGGTAAGGGTGCACCCCATCTTTGCGACCTGGAATTGCTGCTAAATAGCTCTCTGCTGTGGGCACTGCCGTTTAGAGGCCCTTGTACTCATTTTCATTTGCTCTACGCTGCCTGTCTCCTGGGATCTGGCAATGCAGTCTAACCCCCAGATAAGCCTCCGAGGGGACTGGCTACAAGGATCACTTTGGATTCGTTTCTCCGTCAGCTTGATTCTGTGTGCATGCCCCTAAGGCTTGGTAATGCTTTCTAGCCCTTGCTCCCACGGCACTTTAGAAAGGTGAGCGCACATCCTTCCAAAGCACAGACATCAATGCCCTTCCCCTCCTCCCAGAGCTGGAACTGGACCACGCGGTCTGCAGAGTCTCTCTCCCCCCCGATGGTATGTAATGGCTGTAAGACATGGAGTCTAACGGTGCAGAAGTCAGTGAGCGGGCGGGCGCGGGGGGTTGCTTGGCCAGAGTGCTGAGAAGCAAGCAGCTGCAACCAGCCAGGCGAAGGTTTGCCGGCCTCTCTGGATAGGCAAGTCCCTTTGTTGGGGTGCAGACATGGGCCCTTCGCTCCCAGGCATTTCAGAGCAAGGTTCGGAGAGCAGAGGGGGCGGCAAACCCTCTCCCCCAGGAAAGCGGGAGATGCTTGTTTGGATATCGCCTCCTGAAACGGGGGCTGGGACAAAGCGGAGCAGCTCCACCCCGTCATTCAGGAGTGGCCGGCTCCCAGGGGTGGCCCTGGGCCCAGAGACCTCGTGTCTGAGCAGCCTGAGTCTATTGATGCTAGGCCTGAAACTCCCGGGGATACCTAGGGGAGCCAAACCCTTGCTGTGTCTCCCACAGCGCTCACTCCTCGGTGTAGCCCCAGCCATTTAAAGGCAGGGTTCGCCCTTGTCTCTATGGCACCCAGCTAGCGCGTGAATCCAGCCAGGCGACGGCCCAGGGAGCAGCCCACACAGCGATGCCCCTCCGTCAAGAGAGCTGCAGACTGGATGACCTCAGCATGGTTCCCCCCCCCCTCTTCCCCATCCTCGCTCCCTGTTCGAAAACCTCTGCTCCCACATTAGGTGAGATCCCAATCTCGGAGCCCCCCCGGTCCCCCTCCTGCCCACAGAACTCCCTTCTCTTCCCCCTAGTGCCCCTTCAGGCCGCGTTTGACATGTAAGGCCTGGAGTGGCTGGCTCCAGCCTCCCGCGCCAGGGCATGTCAGCCAGGAAGTCCCTGAGCTAGCGGCCGCCTCAAAGGCAAGTTTCGCATTCTTTCCATGCTGCGTTTGTTTCATGCCTGCACTGAGCCTTGCCAAAGGGCCGGGGCCTCGTGACGGCGGAGGTGTGTCTGCCACTGGCCCTGAGGTCGGGGGGGCAAGGCACTGACTTGTGTGTTAATGTTTGCTCCGATGCGGGCCCTGCTCGATGCCCAGGCCGCTGGGTCCCTGGCCCCTCAGCAGCTGCAGCTGCTCTCAAACCCACGCCCGCCAGGCCGGCCTTTCACATGTGCGTGGGCGAAAGGTATCACCTGTCAGCCCTTTCCTGTGTTACCCAACTTGGGACTTCTCACCTTGCTTCAGCTCCCCACCTCAGCAGCCACCGAGAAATGGGTCACTTGTTACATGGGGCGGTGACGTCCTTCGCCGGCTCTGCCGCAAGGGGTCCGGGGCCTCCGGCTCGCTCTGATTAGCTCGGTGCCGCTGGGACGTGGGCGAGGGGCCAGCTCTCTGCCCGCCAAGCCCCACGCTGCTGCCAGCTGGAGGTGCCGGGGCTTATACTCTGCTCCTGCCTGTGGTCACCTGCTGCCTCTCTCCCCGACTGGGGGTGCTGCATTTATTCCTGTAAACAATTCACCTGCACACACAGCATGGAGTGGACACAGACCGGGGACAGGCCCTTTCCCTGCTGGCACCCAGGACTGGAAACTCTCTGGGAAGCACAGACTCCATTTGGCACCAAGCAGCTGTCTTTGGCCCAGGGAGCGGGTGGGGGGGGTCTCACCTGTTCAGTGGGCAGGTTAATGAGAGTTGCCCCCCCCCATCACTCTGCTGTTCTCCCCCTTTCCATTCAGTCAGGGGCCCCAGGGAGTCCCTGCAAGGAGCCGTGGCCACGAAAGTGCTGGGCAGTGCTTTGCAAAAATTCCTAGGCTGCTTCCCCTGCAGAAGTCGGGGGGAGGGGGAGGAATCTTCAACGCCAGGGGCTGGATCTCGCCTCTGCTGCGGGGCTGGAAATAGTCCGGCTGTCTCAGCCCTGCTCAGGGGTAAGGGAAGAGTCGTAAGGACACATCAGCTTGGGGAGGGGGGAGTGCAAACAAAGCCGCAGGCTTATCCCCACAGGGTCTGAGATATGGGGTCGTGGGAGGAGCTGGACAGAAGGGCAACTGCCTGCCCCTTCCCCTGCTAGTGCTGCCCCCCGCTTCACCCTCCAGCCATGGAACTGGCGGTTGGTGCTGCCTGGCAGGGAGACCAAGAGAGAGGCATTAGGAGGCGCCGAGGGAAGGCCTGGGAGTCATGCCTCACTGTTCCCGATGCCAAAGGCTGCATTTCAATATGCAGCCCTGGCCCCAGGACAGCCCTGCAGTCACTGGCCCGGGGGTGCGCAGAGAGCCCCAGTCCTGCGCTGAGTGAACCTGACGGTGGGCACAAGGGCAAGGGACTGCTCCCTCCCTGTCTGAACCCGTGGGTGCTGGCCCGGTACCTGGAAACCCTGGTTGCCCAGCCCCACTCTCCGGGCAGCGCATGGCCTTGGGGCTCCGGCCGAGTCCCGCCCCCATCACCACGCAGCGGGGCAGGGGGCCGGGCTCAGCCACGCAGCGAGGCTCCAGGCCAGATTGCCTCCCAGCCGTTGGTGGCATCAGGGCCGGTCCCAGCGAGCTGCAGTTGCCCCGCTGGGCGTGGCCCAGTGAGCTACAGTGCGGCATGGGGGTTTCCCCTTAATCCCAGGCCAAGCCGGCAGGAGCACGTGACAGCCACGGTGAATGAGTGACTCCAGCGCATGGCAGCAAGGAGCAGCGCCTGGTAAGGCCGGTTTGCAGGGAACCCGTGATCCAGCCAAAAGTTCAGAGCCTGCTTTGCGGGTTGACGTTTCACCCAGTTGTGGCTGCATGTTAACCCTTCCACGGCCGCTCGGGGGGGGGGGGGAAGGCACCCCATCTCTCCGGCATCTCCCCGTGCTGCCCAAGTGCCCCCTCAATCAGGCAGCCCGCACGTGTCCAACGCTGCCAGTGCGACGTGGTCAGGCCTCGGGGCGTTATCTTTGGGAAGGGGGCTTGACTGAAGAGATGGGGCCTGTTCCAGACGCGGGTTAAGGGCACCTTTGAGGCCTGTGCCAGGTGCCCTTGGACAAGTCACTGCTCTGTGCCTCAGTTTCCCCAGATATGCAGTGCTTTGAACGTCCCGGATGTGGACTGTACAGCGGCATGAGCTGACTGGCTCCCTTTGCCAACTCTGACGCCTACCGCGTGGCTGAGAGTGTTGCCCCAGGGAGGGATTACAGCTGAGAACGAACCGGCAGACCCAGTGCAAAGGAGCTACTGCTAGCTTTTTAATGCCAAGAGCGTTCCCCTCGGGCACGTCTCTTCCTGGAGCGGTGTAAGATGAGCAGATCCTGCATCATCTCATCCTTGAGGCAAGTGTGCCACCCAAACAGGCACCCGCCCACACAAACCCAGACCCCTCTGCTCTGGGCGCCCACCAGCCCTAGCAGAGCGTCAGCCAGCTCGTCCCAAGTGGCAGTCTCCAAAGCCAAGGGGGGAACTGAGCTGTGGGACACACACACACCCCGCAAGCTCAGCTGGGGCATATCTTCCTCTGCCTCCCGAATCAAACACATGGTCCCTGGGTCAAGCTCCAGAGGGAGCCACATGTGGGGAACAGCAGGGAGATGGCAGCCTGTAAAAAGGACTCCCCCACATTCCCCCAGCTCCCTGCCCCGGGCCACCTCGCCCCTAAAGTGCTGAGCCAATGATTAACAGATTGCAGAATAAAGGAAGAGAGACTCTTACAATCAATTAGCCACTGTCCTGCTCCTGCCCAAGAGGAAGTAGCCGAGGTAAAATGGGAGGAGGAAGAGAGGTTGAGTGTTTGGAGTTTCCAGGTGTGTGTACATCACCTACACGGTCACTATATAAACTCAGGCAGCCAGAGACCTGGCCAGAGAACACCTGTCACTGCACCTACCACCCCTGAGGGCAGGAGCAGCCAGCCTAGGGAGAGCCACAGAAGAGAGCAGACGCTCTGCAGCCTGAGGACGCATCATCTGCTCCAAGCCACTTGGTCTTCCCCCTCCTCCATGGACTCAGCCAGCGTGGTAAGGCGGCTGCCTCGGCCAGTTCTTAGCCAAGGGAGTCCCAGCACCTGGGCTGGCTCGGCACCCATGCCAGTGCGGCCCTCCTGGCACGCTGTGTGTGAGGCAATGGCCAGGAAGGCTGAGTGGCAAAGGGGGTCAGCAGTTAAGCAGAATAAGGGTGGGTGGGCAGGTCCATAGCTGGCAATCTCATACTGTAGGGTTGTGTAGAGCTGTGTGTGTACATATGTATATATATATACACTGTGTGGGTACATATAGAAGCTCTGTGTGTGTGCATGGTGGGGGGGTGTACCTATATACACACCCTGTTTGTGTAGAGCAGTGTGGATACATATATATGCTTTGTGTGTGTGTGTACATATATACACACACACTATATGTAGAGGTGTGTGGATACACATATAAGCTGTGTGTTTGTGTGGGAAGGGGGTGTATAGACCTACACACTGTATGTTTGTATAGGCCTGGGGGGAATATGCACAGTCCATTGTGTGACTGTGTGTGTAGATAAAATGCAATGGCAGCTGTGACTGTTCTCCGGGCCTGCGGGGGGGTGGGGTGGGACTGTATTGCCCCAGGACTCAGGCTCATGGGAAAGCTGGCAATGATTGCAGAGGGGAGGGCGTTTTCTGGAGGTGTCCCCCGGGCTGTCACGGGACGTCCCTCCTGGGAAGGCTGCTCGTCTGCAGACACTTATCTCCCCCCCCACCACCCCCCGTCTCTGTCCATCAGGGGGTGCTGTGCGCCCTGCTCCTTCTCTCGCTGTCGGCCGGCCAAGCCCAGGGGCGGTCAAGGGACCGCCGCAATCACCACCACCACTGCTTCAGCCAGGAGGAGCTGCAGGCCGGGGAGCTGCCCACCCACTTTGTGAGCAGGACCATGAAGTGGGACCGCTACGCCCCCGTGCAGCTGGTGCCACACCTGGAAAAGCTGCAGCAGGACGGAGGCCAGAGACGCAAGCGCCAAGTAGATGGTTGCCCGGCTCTGCAGCTCCAGGCTACCGTCAACAGCGAGCCCAACGAGCGCTCCCTCTCTCCCTGGAGATACCGGTAGGCCTGGGCCGCCCCTGGGTGGGCAGGGTTTGCACGGGGAGGAACCTTAGACAGTGAGACCTGGCAGCATTCTGTGCCTAGCAGGCTTGAGTCGGGGTTGCACGGCCTAGTGATCGCAGCTCTCCTGGGCTCGAGGCTCAGCTCTGACCCCGCCACCCAGCGTGACCTTGGGTACACCTCTTCCCCTGGCTGTGCCTCGGTTTCCTCTCTTGGGGAGCGGGCTGACGCTAGCTGTCCCTCGCTAGCGTTCGCGCAGCCCCACGAACGCACCAGATGCCGTCTGAGCATGGCTGTCGCTGGTCCTTTTCATTTGAAGCCCAACCGGCTCCGTATGAAAATCCCCAGTAGGGAGCGAGGGCTGACAGGTGGAAAGGTTCCCGCGGCAGAACAAGGGTTGTGGGTTCTCCCCCACACAAAACAGGAGCAAAACACTCCAGTCCCACTGCTCCCCAGCCAGGGAGCCACAAAGGAACGGACAGTTGCTAAGGAACAACTGATCTGTGGACTCCCCGGGGAGTCATAGGAACCCCCAGTTCAGCGAGAGACACACAGGGGATCTCTGAGAGAAAAAGACCACTGTGGCCCTAGAGCAAATCTCCCCAGCTGGTAAATCTCTGCAAGAGAATTGCAGAACAGAAGACCTGTTGATTGTTTACACCTTGTCCATCCCCTGCAGCCAGGGTAGGCTTGGACCCCTCTCCTGGAGCTTAGCGCTGATGCACCATGAACTACTGTCTCCCTTCCTGCCCTGGGAGGGAGGTATTACTGTCCCCATTTCATAGATGGGGAAACTGAGTGCCCAAATGCTCATCGAAACTGTTTCCTTGGGTCCATCCAGTGGAAACAGGCCTTAAATAGACCCCGAACGAATCTCCAGATGGTGCAGCAATATGGAACTATCTACTGAAGGTACTTCCATGGCCCTATCCCCAGCGCAGCTCATGTATTTATCCTCCCGCACCCCTGTGAGAGATTATCCGCATCATACAGGAGGGCCACTGAGAAGCTAAGTGACTTGCCCAAGGGCACGCAGGACGTCTGGGGCAGAGCTGGGTGAATGGAGACGCTTGGAAACATGGCATTGGGACTGGACACCCGCAGCTCTCACTGACATCCATGGGGGATGGAGCGTGGCCAGCTCCTGTGCCCCCCAGGTCACACAGGGAAGTTTCAAGTGTTCAGATGCCAGCTGAGCTCTGAGCATGGCAAGGCAGCCAGGGAGGCTGCTGCCAGTGGGAGATGGGGTTGCATGAGCTCTGCCTTTCCCAGAGTGTGGCGTGACCCTTCTCCTCTCCCGCAGCATCGACGAGGATGAGAACCGCTACCCGCGGAAGCTGGCCTTCGCCGAGTGCCTGTGTACCGGCTGCATTGACGCCAAGACAGGCCGGGAGACGGCCTCGCTCAACTCCGTGCCCATGCGCCAGACCATGATGGTGCTTCGCCGCAAGCCATGCCCACACAGTGCCAGCCCTGGGACCTTTGCCTTCGAGATGGACTACATCAAGGTGCCGGTCGGCTGCACCTGTGTCCTCCCCAGGTCCAGCGGCTGAACACATGTGACAGATGCTGGAGCAGCCGAGCTCCTGTGGAGGCAGCTGGTTTCCAGCATGTTAACCCCAGACCCTCAGTGTGACCATGTCACACAGACCAGTATGTTTGTTTTAAAGCACTTACTTACTATTTATTTCAATTGTAGGCCCTATGGAACCAGTTCCCTGTTATTAGCGAGACCAACCCCAACCAGCTAGCTGTCCTGGGATCTGGATTCCAGCTTGCCACCTGGTGATCCTGAAATCCAAATCGTCAGCTGCCCAGGTTGAGCTGCAGGTGCTTTGCAAGCTGGAAATGCAATGAAAAGAGCTGTGAATCCTCATGCTTCAGGGCACCACCTGACTGCCAGCTAGAGGGGCCAGGAAGGAATTTTCTCCTTGCTAGAGTTTTGCACAATTAGGTGCATCTCTTGGGAGGCGAGCGGGAATGTATTTCTTCCTCTGAAGCAACTGGCATTAGCCACAGGCCACTAGCCTGTTGGAGGGCTCATTCTAATGCTCTTGTGTTTATTACAGACCTCATGCCTGGCTGGCCCTGCCTCCTTCCCCAAGGTAGATAGAGGGTGCATGTGACAGGAGGAGGAGGGGTCATATGGAGGTAGGCGAGCACACCCGCCTTGCTGATTGCACACATTGTGCCAGGCACTGCCTCCGGGTGCTCACTAACAGAGAGCATGCCAGGGCTCTTCTTTGTGTGGCTACATTTGTCTTTTAAAAAAAAAACCCAAAACATATGAAATTCCAGCCAGAAAAACCTGACAGTAAAGGCTGCACAATGAAGCAATGGCAAAGCTGGGGTTGCCTCCATAGCCTTAACTCTGCCCTGCAGAAAGCAGTGCATACTGACAAGCATTGTCCTTGCTGCTTTACTTTGCAGCCTTAAGATGCTCTGTGGGCTGGGGTCTCACATATACTTTCCTAGCAAACCCAAGCACGTTGACTGGCCAGCAAGCTGTGAAGTGGGGCGATCAGCCTGTGCTCTGCGCATTCCCAGCCCCTTGGGAGACCTGCAATACCCTGCAGCCGTCCTTGACGCTGCAACGCAGGGAACCATGGGCTATTACAAGGCTGCGTCCAGCCCAGATGGCCCCCAGCTGGGCCGACAGGGGTCGGGGCCAGCCAGCCTTGATGCTGATTTGTTCTGTGTATTTATTGATTATTTATTTATTTCTATTTGATGGGAGATGCTGTCCCCAGAGATGAAGGTGCTGGCTCCCTTGTTACCGAGAAACATTTTCTTTGGAAAAACACTGAGCCAGATCCAATCCCCTGGCCTGTCTCATACTAGCCACAGCCTGAAGTCTTGCATTGGAAATCAGGCCTGCCAAGTGGGACACCAATGAGCTGTTCTGGCCATGCTGACGGGAGGCTGCCGGCTCTGGGCAGTGCTTATAGTCCCTCATGAGCTTCAAAATGCCCCTGCAAAGCAATCCCTGTGGCTCGCGGCTTGTAAAGCGTAAACCAAGTGGCCACATGTGTGCTCAGTGCACCAGGCCAGCCCAGCACCCAGCTGGACCCAAGACTACACACCAGCAGGGCCATTTCCTTTGCAGCAGCTGCTGTTGTTGTTTTTGAACGTGGCTCGGGGGGCACGCTCTCCCCAGGGCCAGCCCTCCAAGCTCCACAGCTACCGGGGAAAATCTATTTATTTAAGCTCCATGTGTCCTTATTGTGAATTCTGGTGAGTGTGTGATAATGCCTAATTATTATTATTATTTATGCCAAGCCATTGTTATTTATTGTGTCCCTGTTAAGCCACCCTATTTAATATTGCCTGGATTTGAATGTTGCTGATTTGTTGAAAGCATCTGTTGTTCCTGGGATGTAATTTCTCTGGTGTGGAAGTGGGAGAAGTGCCAGCAAATAAAGTTTTATGTCGCTATGGAAAGCGTCCAGGGCTCAGCCTTGTTTGTTACACGACTCTTTGGCCAGTGAGGTTTGGGGTGAGTTGGAGAACTGCTGTTATCATTTGGGGGGGAGGCGGGGTCTAGCAACTCCACCCAGGTTGTGAGCTCAGCCGCTGGAACGTGCTTCTGGCTGCAACACCCTGTGCCAGTGAGTGGAAAGGCAGGGGTCTGAAAAGCAGAGAGATGGCTCAGGCCTAACAAAAGGGGCGACCGAGGCAAGCCAAGGGCCATGCCTGGTGAACAAGGAGAGGAATGGGCCCAGCTTGGTGTGCTGGAAACCCAGCCTAATTAGGGAATGAGCTAGAGGATGGGCTATTCCACCCAGTGCGAGACGGGGGCGGGCAAAAGAGTGATCCGGACTCCCGGGCTAGTCTCCGGCAAGGGCAGCAGGCCTCTGGGTCAGCCTGTCCTTCATCGGTGCATTGAGCCCACAGCCCAGCACTGACCCCACCTGATACATGTGAGCACCTGCTCTGGCTTCCCCTCCCTCGTTTGCTCCCGTCCAAGCCCCCTGTCGTCCTCCTGGCCTACCTTGCTCCCTCGACCGGTCGCTTGACCCCTGCGCCCAGTGGCACCACTTGGCACCAGCATGGCATCGTGGCAGATTTTTGTTTCCAATTTGCCTGGGGCCACAGTTGATCATGCTGGGGCCACAGGGTTTTTTGGGGAAGAGAGGATACAACACACCAAGTGTTTACAGTTTAAAGCTTTATGAATAAAATCATAAAAGAACAGCAGAGAGTGTTAGGAATGCGTCCACGTTACTTAAGGGAAGAAAGTAAGCATTAATGCCCCAAGCCCTAACCCACTTCTTTTCTCACACACGCATGACCCAGACTGGCCAGGTCTGAGTGTCATGTCAGAAGAAGGCGGGCGGGGAAGGTGGGCAGGAGTGCTGTCCTGGGCCCAGGCCATCCAAGGATCTGCTGTGCTCTCCGAATTGCTCCAGCTTTTAGGAGGGTTATAAGTCCTGGGCTTCTTTGGGGGGGTGGGGGGGGGGTTTATTCCATGACCTTTGTTCCTGGTGCTCTTTGTGCCAGTCTAAACCAGCTTCTTGTGGGTTTTTTTTTTAACACCTTGGCTTTAGGGACGCCTGGCTTGCCCTCTCCCCGCCCTGCCCCTTGTTGTTGTGTTTGTGTTTTCAGACTCTGCAACCCTGGGCTTTGTTTTCTTTTTTGCTGGCTTTGCTGTTTGAAAGTGCATGTCTGTGCAGTTAAATTTTCTTTTTTTATGGCTGCTTGGGCAACTTTAAAGCCCCCGTCTTTCTCGGCTTGCAGCCAAAAGTCGGCTGCAAACTGCGACCTTGGACTGGCTGGGGCCAGCGTTTTATTTTCAAATTAAGCTAACTAAACTATTAAATTAGCTTTTTTTTTGGCCTTTTATACCCTGTAAAAAAACTTCCACTCCCCACGTGCACATCTTTAACCTTGCAATAGCATTAGCAATATATACTGCTAATGTGCCTTCCCAGGGAATTTCCTAAAGGGAGGGGCGGCGTTTGGGCTATAACAACATGGCCCAGCCGGAGGGTGGGGCTACAGAGTTAGGGCACCGAAAGGGTGCGTACGTCACCCTAGTTATGGCCATGGCCACTGCGATGGTGCGCCTGCTGAAGTAAGCAGCCCGTTACCCCGACATCATGATGCCCCCCCCCGCCACCACGAGGGGTGTAGAGCTCACCGTGGGTCTAGTTAGGGTGACGCAGCGTCTGTGTAGACCCTGCGTGACTTACATCGGCTGTTGGCGGTCAGTCCCAAAAGGGCTGACCTCCCATCCCCAAGTCCTGGGACTGACAGCCCAAGCTGTCAGCGGGGTACAGGAGTCACAGCTCCCCCAGCCCCAGCCCCTGCTACTGCTTCCCAGTGAGGGATGGGGGCAGGGAACAGCCCCGGCCAGGCTCTGGGTCTCTTCCCCCACCATGAGACTTCCCTGGCAGGTAGCTGGGCTCCTGGCTGTCAGCCCCAGCAGAGGGGCTCACAGCAGGAGCTTCCCCTTCCCAGTGCTGGTTCTGACAGCCCAGCTGTGACCCTGCCCTGGGCTCAGTTTCACAGGGAGGGGTCTGCCAGCCGTGAAATTGACAAGAATGTCAGTTTCACAGCTGCTATTATTTCACATTACCTCTCTGGCTCCCAAGGGTGGGAGCCCAGGGAACGGAGCCCTCACCTCCCCCCTGGGGCCAGCTGACAGCCTGAGCCGGAGCCGAAATGTGGAATAATACACTCCCTGCTGTGAAATGGAAGCCCATGAGGCCTCATCGCTGGGCTGTCAGCACTGGGCCGGGGCAAGCAGGGGCAAGTGGGGAGCTGGGGGAGGAAGGGAGAAGGGCTCAGGCTGTTGGGGTGGGCGGGCCCAGTTGTGAGCTGGTGCCCACCTGACAGCTTTGTAGGGTGATCAGACAGCAAGTTTAAAAAAATCAGGCCTGGGGTGGGGGTGGGGGGGTAAGAGGAGCCAATATAAGAAAAAGACCCAAAAATTGGGACTGTCCCTATAAAATCAGGATATCTGGTCACCCTACAGCTTTAGGGGGGAGGGGCAGGGAGGGAAACCAGCGGTGAGCTCAGTGCCTACAGCCGAGGCTATCAGTCCCTGGGCTGCCAGGCTCCAGCTGTCAGCCCCCTCCCCCCACCACTGCCCCACGTCAGTCGGTGGCAGCGTTCCTGGTGAGGCCGCACACTGCCACCAGAAGGAACAAGTGTGGCTGTGACCCACCATGGTAATTACTGCCGTGGCTGTACAGTGACGTACTTTAGCCAAGCCCCGAGCCGGCGATCCATACCGGGACGTGTCAGGGTCCAGAGCAACAGCTGGCGTGGCTGACCTGCCAGCCCGGAGCTGCCATCCAGAGCTGCCCGGTATCACGAGCACCTCAACAAACACCACAATCCCACCCACCCCCCTTCGTGGCCCGTGCGTTTGGCCCAAGCAGGACGTGTACCCAGCATGCCACCGGGCGCTCACGAACACGCAGACCCAGTCTTTCCCGCGAAGGAGGCGGGCAGGCTGGGATCAGCACCTCGGGCGGCCAGCTGTGCGCTATAAAAATGAGATGTGTTTTGTAGCTCCACGCAGTTTCCACAGGCTCTGAGTTTTGTTTCTGCTTGGGCAGCTGACGCAGAACGGGGCCAGACTGCGGCAGGCCTGGGCGCGCCGTTCCCCGAAACAGGTCACGGGCCCGCCTCGCACCCACCGGGCCCTTTCGGCTGGCGTGGTTTACACACCGGCCCATGTGCTTTGACGTGTCTGCTGGCGATGTCCCCAAAACCCAGTGTGGTGCTGGCCTTCGTGACGGTTGGGGGTGGGGGGGGAGGTGATAGGACAGACCACGTAGCACCAGCCGCTTTGCCCGGGATGTCCTCATGCCCGGCTTTCAGGTGCTGCTGGGGGCCTTGGGCAAGCATCACTGTCATGCCGAACCAGGTTTTTCTTGTTCGGGCTAGAGGCCCAGAGAGCATTCAGTGCCCGACACCTCAGTGTCTAAATCCCAGAATCAGGCCCCACTGGGCTTCGCAAACCCCCCGCTCAGCAGCCACTGCACATCGTAGGCCCCCTAAAGCCACAGGGCTCCGCCGGGTCTGTCTCGGCACGTGTGTGGTGCAGCCTCATGCCCAGCTGGCCAGACATGAAGCCCGAGGATGGATGCCCCCACACACACACACACACACGAGTCACCCATGGGGCCCTGAGCTGCTATCTGCGCTCATAGCTCACCTACAGGCATGGGCTCCCACAGCTGCAGGCCCACTGGCGGGCGGGAGCAGCCTCCCCCATGACTCAACCCAGGGTTAGGGTATGCAGCTGGGTCTCATGTCCCCCCCCCCCCTCGGTGTGAAGGGGAGGAAGGGTTTGAAGTGGCCTCTGAGCCCCCCCCCCCCCCCCGGCCCCACTGCCCCAGTACAATAGCTGCAAGGGGGCGGCCTGGCGGAGCCACAGGGCAGCACACCCCCGAGCCCAGCGGGTAGGGCACCAACTGGAGATGGGGGAGCTGATCCCGTCCGGCGGGGAGGGGAGTTAACCGGGGTGCTCCCACCGTACACCCCACCCACTGGGCTAAATGCTAAGAGGCTGGTGCTGGTGTGGCAAAGGAGGAGAGTGCCCTCGGCACTACGCGAGGGGGCAGCCCGCACCCCAATCTCCCAGAGAGCAGCAGGGCTTCGCACCCACCCCGCTATCACCCCCCCCCCAGCTGGCTCAGGCAGCTCCCCACTCAGCGCGCTGGTTTTTGCGACTCACTCTATGAGCCCCGTCTCTCCCCAATCCTTCTGTAGGCACCTAGGCCCCTCACTCTGGCGTCGTGCACGTCAGCGATCGTCTAGGCGCATCCCTGGGCCCAGTGGCCTTTGCAACACAGCCCAGGACCAGCCACGAGCAGCCCCCACTGTGCTAGGACGCTGTACAGACAGTAGCAGACAGCTCCCCCCATCCCGCAACTGCTGACCTGTTAACTAAGCCCAGTGTCTACGCGTGTGACTCTGAGGCAGGTACAGGTACCCCCCAGGCCAGAGCCAACAGTGCTGCGGCACCATGGCTGGGTGCGTAGCCAGTCCACAGTGCCGGGGCAGCGCTGCGTGGGTCACAGGCCAAACCCCTGGCCCCCCAGGCTCTGTCACACCACCTGCTGCGTGAGCCCTTCCTGGCACGGTCCGGGCCGCGATGGAACAGACGTGGTGCAATCACGACACGCACAACGGTGCAACTTGAGCATGGAGGGCTGGCACACCTGGAAGCAGGGGCGAGCGGGCTGAGGTCAGGAATGGGGTACACAACTGCTGCAGGCCAGCCCTGCCTGGGCAAGGGGAGGACAGGCTAGGCCAGGGAGGGAGCCCGGGGTGATTCATGTCTCGGGCCCTGATTGACGCAAGGAGAGGAGACACTAGCTGCCTTGGGGGAAAGGAGAAACCCGGCTCATTTCCTCCTGGGCCACGGTGCTGTTCATCTTCCGGACACCGGTGCCGACCCCGGGTCTGGGTGGGGGAATCCACTGCCCCCCCTCCCCCAGCCTGATGTGCCCAAGGCGGCTGCGACGTGCCAGCCGTTCAGTGCCCCGTCTGAACGTAGCAACCAGGGACAACCAGCAACTATGCCCTTGCAAACACTAGCCCCACATGGGTGCAAACTGGCCCTTGGGGGCCATGGGCTGGCTGCCCTCCCCTCCATGGCTCCTATTGCCTGTCCACCATCCGTCCTGGGCCCAGAGGACATCAGCCAGCCCCTCACCCCAGCACCCTCACTGCCCACATGGGATGGGGGCAATTCTACCACCTGCCCACCCCCCCCCCAGGGCTGCCCCTGCCTTCACAGCTGGAGCTGCCCTGGCTGAATAGCACCAGCAAGCGCACAGCGCCCCCTGCAGTCCAGAACCACAAATTCAGCCAGACTCTGACCCTACCCACTACTCAGCCCCAGCAAGCACCTGGGATTGGGGAACCCCCCCCCCCAGCTCAGGCCCCAGGGGAAGCTCAGCTGCCTCTGGCGCTCACCTCTCAGGGGGCTGAGGAAGGACCCCTTCCTCCCTGGACCTGACTCTTTGACCCCCATCCCAGCACCGGCCCCCACCCAACTCTCTGCCTCCCCACCCACCCCCAGCCCCATCAGGCAGCCAGCAGAGGAGGAGGGTGAGCCTGGGGTCCCCAGCCAGCACTGGATCTGGGTGGTAGAGACACCCCCTGCAGGAACCACTCAACCTCCTCACAGCACCCCCTGCCCCACCCAGAGATCCCCTTGGATGCTGGCTTCCCCCAGCAGCCAGACAATGGCAGCGGTCCACACCGCGTCCCTGCTCCCGCCCCAGGGATCTTGCCCCCCCGGAGCTGCCCTGGCAGGCTGAAAAGGGCTCTCCTTGTAACCCATCCTTTGAGGCTAGCCATGCTGAGAGAGGCTGGTGCCTGAGAAGATGTAGATGAGGCGTGGACGGGATGCCCTGGTACCAGAGGGGGATGGGGCAGGGTCCAGGCATCTCAGCACTGGCAGAACTACATGGCAAGGTGGAAAATGCAAGGCCTGGGGGATCCTGCCTGCTTGCACCCCCTCTCCCAGCCAGCCACAGCCCCCTCCCGTGCAGTGAGATCAGAGATCGCGTCACTCGTTTTATTACAGTATCAAAAGGAGACAATCCACTGAAGTGCTGCCCTTCAGCACAACCCCGCACCCATACAGGGGAGGGGCCCAGCAGGAGACAGCTGCCCCCCCACCCCCACATGGGCAGAGTGGGCCCCACAGCCCTCCACCGTGCAAAGGAACACCGAGGCTGCCGGGCTCTGTGACACCGGGGGGTCCTGAGCGGGCTCTAGTGTGAAGGGGTGATGGGGCTCTAGAGCTGGGAGGGGGGGGAACTGGCTGTCCAGGGGGATGGGGAGCAGGCTGGACCCCGGGAGGGAGCATCGGTGAAGGGGGCAACAGGCTACGGAGCTGGCAGTGGGGGCACCCGGCTGCAGACAGAGCTTGCTCAGCGCCCGACTCCCCCGACCTCAATGGCGACCGGGATGGGATTTTCCTGGCCGGCCTCCTCTGCAGGCTGCTTCTTGCGCGTTTCTGGGGGCGGCCGCGGCGGGGGCATGGTGGGGGGCTGCTTGATGGTGCCTCCTCCCGCCTGCGGCCGCTCCTGGGGCTTCTGCTCGATGGGGTTCCACTCCTCGCCGCGGATCGCAGCCTGCAAAGCAGCCCCCACAGGGCAGTGAGAGCCGAGTCACCCCTTTCCCAGCCAGCCCTCCCCTCCAGAGGGCCTCCCTCAGGCCCAGGGCAGAAGAAATGATGTTAGGAACCCGTCCACACAGCTATCACCCCCACCATCTCCCATTCACACAACGGGCGCTTCTGCTGGCCAGCCTAACTCTAGATGGACCCTGGAGGTGTTTAGGGATCCAGAGTGCTCAGCATTCGAGTTAGCCAGCAGGGGGCACTCAGCACCTGGCAGAGAAACGTCTCTGTCAGACCGAGGGAGAGCAAAGGAGGCGGTGGCCTTGGGGTTGTATTACACCTGACACCCTGCCAGCTCTGTACAAATATTAACTAATTAACCCCTTGTGGGGGACTGTAGCTAAACACCATCCAGTTTGTTGATGGGGAAACCGAGGCACACACCGATCAGGTGGGAAAGCAGTGGCAGCTAGGACGCGAACCCAGGAGTCCCAGTCCCCTACTCTAAACACTAGACCCAGAAATGGAACCCAGGAGTCCTGCCTCTCTCATGCTCTAACCACTAGACTATACCATTGGGGGGCAAATAAATTCCTGTCAACTATATCCATGGTTAAAGCAGAAGCAAACAAAAGGTGATAAAGGCATCACGCAGGGTGAGTAGAAAGGCAGACGCTGCCTGGTGCCATTCTCAGAAAACCAAGCCACCAAGCGCCTGATCTGTAGAAATAAGGCCCGAGGGAGCTAACAAGGTCAGTGAGTTGACAGCACTGGGCACTTACCAATAAATAGATGGCACTTGCTATGCCCAAACACGCCGTGCCCAGAATAGTGGATAACAGGAAACCCGCCGGCACTGCAAGACTGAGACAGAGAGAGATTTAGCTCCAACAGAAACCTTTGCCGACAAGCCTCCAAATAAATTAGGAGCAAAGGCCTGTGGGCAATGCACGGGGGAAGCGGGTTCTCTCTGTGGCTTCTGATGCGTTCTGCAGAATCCAGGCTTTCATTTACCCAGAAATCAAACGTTTCCTCAGCTGGCGAGTCAAATCCCTGGTTCTCTCTGTGGCTGGCCAGACAAAAAGAGCCTGTCTGCCATGGGGGAGATGGTGCGGGGCACAGGGACAGGCTGGGTAAGGTGCCAACCCCAAAACTCCAGTGTGGGTTTAGCAGGAACAGTTCGCTGCCCACTCCTGGCTTCTCCCTGCTGCAACCTTTGGGGGATGGGAGCAGACTCTCCTCCACGGGCTCAGAACCAAACCCGAGGCCAGACAGCTGCCAAGCCCCGCAGGCAACCTGGGAGAATTCCCGAGCGGGCAGAGCAGGCCGTTTACACATAAACTCCCTGTGAACTGAAGCTGGGGAGACACCCGCCATTGACATCCAGGAGGCAGGAATGGATACGGAAACCAGCCCCTGCCGAGAGCACAGGGTGGCTTCCCATCGCCAAATCAATGAAACCGTCTCATGCGTCCCATTCTGAAGCCTTGCAGAGCACATCCCAAACTCCATGCAACGCACACAGCCCCCCTGAAATGCAGCCACCTCTGGGGTGGAGGGAAGCAGCCCACGGGGGCACTCTGTGCTGTGTAACAGCAGGGGAAAGGGAAAACTTTGGGCCAGATCCCAGGGGGAAACCTGCTTGAAAACAAAAAGCGTTTTTGGCCAGGGCACACAGGCACTCATTCACTCAGAGCAGTCGTGGGCTCGGATCGATGTTGAAGGGTGAGGGTTACACTGACCCTATGGGGATCTCACCCCATGGTGAGCGGGGATTAAGGATTTCAAACCTGGAGCTTATGGAGTGAAGCCATCCCCTCTGGCTACGCACACCCCCTCAGCCCGAGCCGGGCTGGGCCTCACTCGGGATCAGGGATGTGTGTATTGAGACATGGTTAAACGTAACCCCGGGTAGGAGCTGGCAGCGGCTGCGGTTTGCATCTGGGATCAGACTAAGGGATAAAGCAGGGAGCACTCGCTCAGCAGAGATCACACACACACCCCCTGGGATGCCAGCCAGACTTACGCAGCATGTAGGATGGCCCGGACGTAGTAATTCCTAGTGACCGGCCCAAAAACCTTCACCACGGCTGTCAGGTACTTCTGGCCACTGCATTGGGTGGAGAGAGAGAGCACACGGGGGGTGGGGGGGGTCAGAAAGGCATGGGATTCTTACAGAGGATGGGGCACATGACACAGAAGGGCACCCTCCCTCTGCTCCCAATCACATGCCCCAATCTGCCCTGTGCCTCACCCCTCCCTCTCCCCCTCTATCCTGATCAGGATCTAACATGCTCACCCAGGCAGTGGAAAACATTGTGGGAGCGCAGAAGTCTCCCCCGACCTGATCACCAACGACTAGTGAACAGGGCAGTGACCAGCAGTCCCTGGCACTCTGGGCATCTGAACTACAACAGGACAGGCAGCCAGACAAGGCAGAGAAAACTCTGCTGCTATGGAGGGGGTCAGCACCCTGGACACGAGGCTGCAATACCCAGAGACCCGAGCCCAGTTCGGCCACTCCAGCTCCCTTACGACTTCTTCTCCAAAAGAGTCCCTCCAGCTATGAATTTCAGGGCCACGGCTGCATTTTGGGCTTTTTAACCCCAGCCAAGCCATGCATCACTGCCATGGAAACGCCCCACTGCTGGCAGGGTGAGACCTTATCTAGCACGCCATCCTGCTGATGGAATAAAGCTGTTCAGCTGTGTGTCATAACCCCCACACTGCTCGGAGATTCTCCTGTAATTCAGTCTGGAGACATGGGCTGTTGGAGCAGGAAGAGGCATGTTTTGGCCCTTCTAGGCCTGAAGAACAAAGCAATTGCCAGACTGGATCTGATCAGAGGAACAATAACCTGTCTTCCACCAACACCAACTGCTTCAGAGGAAGGGATGAGAAACTCCATTGTGGGCATTAAGGATCACCCCATTCATAGGGGAGAGTTCCTTCCTAACTCTTGTCAGTGAGTTGCTGGCCAGTGCCCTGAAGCATGAGGATTTATCGGGTTTTATCCAATCTTATCTAGCCATGGATACTCCTTTCAAGCCTGCCCATGTCAAAATCCCTTTTTAGGACCCTGCTAAGATGTTGGCCTTAATATCATGTTGCAGTGAGTTCCACAGATTACTTATCCATGGCTTAAGACACCATCTCTTTTCCTTAGCTTTGAGCACATTGCCTCCGCTCTCCATGCCATTTCATTGCCAGGAGGGGCTGCAACACGAGGGGTCAATTTGGGCCTGGACTGAAAGCCAAAAAAATCCCCTTTGCAAGGGGCGGGGGAGGGATAGCTCAGTGCTTTAAGCATTGGCCTGCTAAACGCAGGGTTGTGAGTTCAATCCTTGAGGGAGCCATTTAAGGATCTGGGGCAAAAATTGGGGATTAGTCCTGCCCTGAGCAGGGCGTTGGACTAGATGACCTTCTGAGGTCCCTTCCAACCCTGATATTCTATGATCAACCCCGCCACACACGCAGCTGGAGGTGAAGGCAGGGGAGTACTTACCATCTCTCCATGGTGGAGCCCTTTTTCCGCTTCCCCCGGGGGTACTCCAGCAAGCAGACGAAGACCCCGGCCACTCTAAGAGGACCAGTCAAGGAAAAATAGCTTCCCAATGCCCCCACCCCCTTGGTCTATGCAGCACAGATCCACGAGGTCAGGAGAAGCCTTTTTCAGACTCCCTCTGGCATTCGCTGCCTGGATGGGACCTTGACTCCAGCATCCACCCTGGGGAGCTTCTGCTGCCAGCTGCAGCAGCCTAGGGCTGGCCGGTGCAGATCAGCCCATCAAATCCAGGATCCCACCTGTGGCCATGGACAATGTCTGATGTTCCAGAGGGAGACAAGAAAAAGCCCATAATGTTGGCCAGCTAAGCAATGCCAGGCAGAGGGTAACAACAGCTGACTGACCCCAGCAGGGGGCAGGGAAGGGAGAGAGGAGAGGCGTTTGCCCCTGCCAAGGTGAGGATTGGATACCCCTGCTCTAGCATACAGAACCGCAGAGGTTATTAACCCGCAGACAAGTTCCCAGCCTCATTACAAACCCAGCCACAGCAGCTGGGCACTTCATCACTTAGACTGCGGAACTCGGCCAGTAAGTTTCACTGTTTGTTTATAGTAAGGTCCACTTCCGGGTTCCAATACACTGGCCCCAAAATGGCTGCTTTTGGGTTTCTAGTCCCTGAGGGGGGAGGGGCTGAAATGCCCCACCCCAGGCTCTTCATTTTGACTTTGTGACGTTGCGAAAGCTTTTCCAGCGACTCTCAACCTCCCGACAGCCGAGCCGTTTGTCGGCACCCTTTTAAACCACAGCTGTGCTGAGCAAAGCCAGGAAGCGGCAGCCTCCGGAGATCTTCGCCAGCCAGACATCTGGGGAGCCTGGGGACAGATGGCGGTTCTGGAAGAGGATACATGGCGTAGGCAGCAAACTGCCACCCTTTGAACCGAGCAGCGACCGCTACAGTCCCTCCCGTCACTAGAACTAGGAGGCAAGGGGGGGAGAGAGAGGAGGTTACTAAACCCGAGTGAACATCCCCACACTCTGTCCGAGTGGTACCCAAGAGCTGATCTCCCCTGAGCCCGGAACAGGCTCTGACCCCATGTTCCTCTGCTCCAGAGCGATAGTTAATCCCAGGTCTAGCCATGCACTGAGCACCCCACACGCCCTGGCGGGTAGTTTCTGTCTATTTATAGAGACACAGGTCTCATGCAGGAGAGAAATAGCCCCCCCACCGTACAACAAACCACCCCCGCTGCTGCTCCCCGCCCAGCCAGTATCACGCCACAGACGGAGCCTGGGTAAGATTTTAAATCAAAACCTCTCCCTGGGAGGTAAGAGCTGGAAACAGGCTCCAGCCTGCAATTCACACAGCGAGAGCACAGACAACCCCTCCCAGCGAGGACACACCTGCCCTGTCACAGCAGCTGGCACCTGAATCTGCCAGATAGCAGCAGCCTGGCTGGGCATTTTCACATTGCCCTAAAGCAGAGCCAGTGTTGCAGGCGTGGTCCCCTGTGAAGGGCAAGCGCCCACCGGCAAGCTGGCCGGTAATGCAGCTCTCACTCTGGCCAAGCCAGCCCAGAGGCGGCTTTTTAAAAACCACAGCTAGTGCACCTGTGACGCCCATCTTGCACTTTCCCATCAGCCAGGACAGGAGTGGGAGCAGAGGGACAGAAGTTGCCTGGCTCTTTAGTCACTGGACTAGACAACGGCCAGCATATTTGGCGTGAAAGCCCAGAGCCAGCCAGAGAGGAGGGTTTAGGTCTAAGGGAGGTCATGCTACTCTCAGAGGCAGGCCCAAAGTTAAGAAACTTCCTTGTTTCCAGCGCAGCCCGTCACATTCTTTCCTTGCTTAAAAAACCCCCACAAATGCAGCCTTGACATTCTCGAAGCAGAGGCGATTAACCCTGAAGCACAGCATCTGCTGCAGCAAGAGATTTCTAGCTGACCAAAGCAAACAGCCCCGCTGCCAGGATCCGTTCACTGGATTCGGTTCCTTTAGACTAACAGACGCCTCGGGACTTTCCGTGTCCAAACAGGAAAAAATAAGCCCAAAGGGTCCAAGGCTCAATAAGTAGCTTCATCTATCCCTACCCCCATCTTCAACCCTCTCTCACCCACCCCAAGACATGGCCCGACTTGTGAGCCTTAAATGCAATGCCCCCCATTGCCTGTTTTGGGGCCTTTCTTTTAACTCTTTAGGCATGTCTAATTTACCACAGTTACCACAGCAAATCCCACAACTCAGATAATGACATGCACACATCGCTAATTAGGCGCCAGCCACTAATTAGGCACTCTGCCATGCATAATTACCCAGATAGCAGGTGTAAGGATTAAAAGCCAAGTGCTCTAACCATGCCTGCTTCAGGCCGTAAACCAAATCCTAAGTGATGGGTGGAGAAGCAGCCTTCCCTGCAGACAGGCTAGTCCCTCACTGCCTGCTACAAGTCACCTAGGACCTTGTGCTGAAGCATCTGGGGCTGGCCACTGCCAGAGACAGGTTCCCAGACCAGCTGGACCCTGCATTTGACCCAGACTGGCAATTCCTACGTGCCAGGCCCACGAGACGTGTATTTTGCATGCAGCATTGCACATTCGCATTTATAAACTGGCCACTTGTGGGTTTGAGTTCCAGGCTGGTGCTGGCCTGGCAGCTCCCAGCTCCTTCATTTATCCACAGCTACCTTGCTCTGCACTCACGTCCCCATCAGCACAAGCTGGAGGCACCAGCCATGGAAGTGGCAGGAAACACAGGGTACACCTACCCCCCAATCGGGAGGCGGACTGCAGCGTGCGTAGGCAGAACTGAGCTATCTTAGATGGAGCCAGCTCACTAAAACTAGCAGTGTGGCAGCGGCATGGGGTAGATGCCCCAGTACGTACCCAGGCAGGACAGTACGTGGGTGGCTAGCCCATGATACCACCCCCCACTTTCCCCCCCCGCCCCAGACACACTGCTAGTTTTAGCAAGCTAGCTCAGGTCTGCCTACCCTCTCAACTGCAGGGAAGACCTACCCTGAAGGTGAAATCCCAGTGCCAGCAAAGTCGGCAGGAGTTCTGCCACTGACTTCAATGGGCCCAGAATTTCACACCCAGAGGCCAGTCTTTCCAGCTATTGGTTTTAAGCCTCACTGCCAGGATGGGTGCCAGACTGACAGTGGATTTCGTGATGACCAGCTGTCCACGGGAACTAGACCGTAATGAACCTTGGTGGCTACAATCACCTGATGGTAACAACATCCTGTAACCAAGAAGCAAAAGGCTCCCCCGTCTCATCCCTCTCTTCCAACCGGCCCTCCCAGCCACTCACTCGCTCTCTACTTCCAGTGAGTTCCCCAACTACCGAAGGGGCTCAGTGGTGCCATAATGTAGTTAGGTTCTTCTCTCTGGACGGCAGCTAAGCAAAGTTCGCAGTCAAGTCATGGCTGGGGGCTAAGAAGCTGAGGTGCCAGCAGGGCAGATCGAGATAATTTAGACACTGGAGCAGTGGTTCTCAACCTGCGGCCTGTAGGCCACTTGTAGCCCAGTCAGCACACAGCTGCGGCCCATGTGACGCCCTCAGGGCCATACAGGTCATATTGGATGCGGCCCGCAATGATAAATAGGTTGAGAACCGCTGCCCTGGAGGGATCCCAAATCCTAGCTCAAGAACACTTTGGAAGAGAAAAACCCCTGTACAAACTCTCTTCCCACAGGACTCAGCCCCACGCCATGTGTCAAACGGAGGCCTGGCTCCACTTCGAAACGTTACCACATCCCTGTGTTGGCGAGGGGGGTCGTTCGCAGTGCGAACGCTGTTATCCCAGGATAAAGGTGCCGGAGCAGTAGGGTGATTTATTTCCCTTCCTGCCCAGGAAAGCGATTCCGGTTTCAAGCGCCTTTATCCTGGGATAACTGGGCATTCAGGTTAGGGGGCTGAACGGCAGCTCTCTCATATGAGCAAGTCCCCAGAGAAACCCAGTTTACTCGGGTCTCTATAGAGAAGTGAAGTTGGTGGCGCAGGCCCTGTACCCACCCTGCAGTGGGAGTTTTCATGAGATGCTAATCTGGCCAATGGAAGAGACTCGTTAAGCAAGAGGAGAAGAGAAGAAAAACAGCCCAGCTGCTTCCTTCCCCTTTTTATTTTCTTTTCACTTCCTCAACCTCAGCCCCAGCCACTGGGGATGCCTAGAGCTGCAGGGTGATGGGTGCTAGCCCAGGCCCCCTGAGGCTGGTACTGGGTGGGGGGGGGGGAGGCTGGGTCCCCAGTGAGGAACAGCCGTTTGGGAAATGCAAGGACGAGGAGTGGGCTTTGCTCACAGACCCTGCAGGGCACAGAGGCTCCCTCCCCCAGGAATGACCCTGGGGCAAGGCAGCCACTTCAGATCTTCTCTTAAACCCTACGCCCCCCCTAGCCCCACAGCTCCCTGCCCACTGCCAGCCCTATCCTCCCATACCCCCCTTCCTACCCCCTTCTCCACCCCACCCCCAGCTCCCCTTAGCCCAGTTCTCACCCCCAGATCCCACCTACTCTCCGTCTCCCCCCAGCTCAGCTCCCCTAATCCCCAACTGCCCCCAACCCCCCTCCTCCAACCCCCGATCAATCCCCACCCAACTCCCCCCAATCACCCTCCAGCTCCCTTCTCCCCCCCCCCACTGCCCCCACCCCGCTCCCCTCCCGCAGCCCCCCGGTGGCCCCCAGCGCCCCGCCCGGAGCGGCGCCCCCGCCCGACTCACTGAGCCCGGAGGCCAGCGCCTGCTCGTTGGCCCACATGGCCCACTCGATGCGCCCCATGGCTGCGCTGCTGCCGGCCGGGGACACACTGCGCCCCACCGCCGGGGGACGGGCCCGCCCCCGCCGCTGGCCACACCCGCCGGGGCAGGGACCGGCCCGCCCCCAGCCCAGCCGCGGGCGGCGGCGATCCGGCTCTCGGGCCCTGGCCCGGCGGGGGAGCCCGGCGCGTCGCTGCCCGCTGCCTCGGAGGCTTTAAAACCCGCTTTCAAAGGAAGGAGCGGGCCCCGGGGGGCGCCAGCGGCGGGCTCCCGGCTCTGCAAACAGCCCGGCACCCGCCCCCAGCGCGGGGAAGGGCAGGGCTCAGCCAGCCCCCGGCCACACCGGGGAAACTGAGGCACAGACGTGAAGCGACTGCAGGCTTTCAGCCAGCCAGCCACCTGCAGGGGGTCTGGAAGGGATTCCCCCCCCCCTTCCGCCCTTCTGGGTTTTGGGGTTTTTATTTTTAATCTCCTTCCTCTGAAGCATCAGAGATTGCCAGGGCTAGAGAGGGACCACGGGGCGGGGAGGGCCAGAGCTGGAGAGGGACCACGGGGCGAGAAAGGCCAGGGCTAGAGAGGGACCACGGGGCGGGGAGGGCCAGGGCTGGAGAGGGACCACGGGGCGGGGAGGGCCAGGGCTGGAGAGGGACCATGGGGCGGGGAGGGCCAGGGCTGGAGAGGGACCATGGGGCGGGAAGGGCCAGGGCTAGAGAGGGACCACGGGGCGGGGAGGGCTAGGGCTGGAGAGGGACCACGGGGCGAGAAAGGCCAGGGCTAGAGAGGGACCAGGGGGTGGGGAGGGCTAGGGCTGGAGACGGGACCACAGGGCAGGGAGGGTCCCGGTCAGACTGGTGGTGTTTTTACCTTCCTCTGCAACATGTGGGTGCAAGTCACTTGCCAGAATTATCTAGGTGTATCACATCTTCCTGCTCCTGGGGAGGCCTCGGGCACTCCCGAGTGCACCTCGCTCACTCCCAGATTGTCTCCCCCCCCCAGTACACGGGTCCATTTTGGTTGTTGCATTTAGGGTGTGGGTGCGGGCCGTGGTCCCTTCGGGCATGAAACGCTGTGACTGTATGACCCAGCATCACTTGTGGAGTCAGCGCGAGGACTGGGCCCGGATCCAGCCCTCTGGACTTGCAGGGCCTCATCTAACCTTTAGGTCAACCTTCCTCAGGTAGGGAGCAACGGGGGAAAGCAGGTTGCTTAGAGGGAACATTCCTTGTTACGGGAGCTTAAAAGGCCCTTGTGCTCTTTCCATTCATCAGAAACTGGGTGCAGCTTAGGAGCTGTGACCCTAAGGGCTGGACAGCTTGGCAGAAGGACAAGGATGCAGGGCTATCTACCGCACTCCTATGGAGCTTTTCATGAGGAGATCTTGCAGCACTTGACCTAAGGAGGTTAAAGCTAGGGAAACTGAGGCACAGAGAGGCAAAGGGACCTGCCCTCACTCACAAAGCATGGCAGTGGCAGAGCAGGGACTGAACTCGGGTTCTCTGCAGGCCCAGCCCTGCTCACCCAAAGCAGCTGGGGGAGAATCGCTTCAGTCAGGCTCTGACAGCTGCGATACACTTCGCAAGAGAGCCATGCAACCCAGGGGAGTTAACAGAGGCTGTGGAATCATGGCAAGCAGAGGCAACTGCTGCCCTGTTCCCCTTCTCCAGATGGGTGGGGAATGAGAGGAAGGCTGCTGCGTGGCCAGACCCTGCTCCTGCTCTGCGGGTCAGGCACCAGGCAGGACCCTTGAGCCCACCCTGAAATGCTTTCACTCAAGCCTCTGGCTACAGAGCCCAGCCTAGGCTCTGCAAGCCACAGCTGAAGGGGTCCCGGCTGCAATCAGTCAGTGAGGAACCTGACAAAGGCAGTTCCTCCTTGCCCCCCAGCCGGCAAAGGCCATGTGACCCCCATGCTCCCTTTGTTTTATCCCCCAACCCCTGATTTACAGCAAACATTTCCTGTCTCCTCCCTTCTTAGATCACCCAATTTCCTCCTGGGCCACCAAGATTGCCGCTGCCCCAGGCCTTCGAGATACCCCCATACAAAGGCATCAGGCAAAGCTCTATGGTCTACACACATTTCTGGGCCTGTCCCTTCAACTTTTACTCTAACCCAGGAGGTGACGCAACGCCCCTCAAACATTACCCCACTGACATCCCAAGTCCCCCTGAACTTCTGAATGAGCAACCCTATTTCTATAGCAACCCTCCCCGCAGAGCTTCCGCCAAACGGGGGGATTTCATCAGGGTCAAATAGGTCTCAAGCACAGCAGAGAAGAGCAACCAAGGTGCTGGAATGAACTATGACAAAGGGCTTTAAAAAAACAAAATGAAAACCAACCAACCAGGTCGCCGGTAGCCAAATTCCTCATGAGTAAGCGGGCTCTGCCAGACAGCAGAAGGGTCTCTGGGAGGAGGAGCTATGGGACGTTTGGAAAAGATTCTGAACAATAAAGCTGCTCGAACTGTTGGATAGGACCTGCCTCCCAGTTCAAGTGCTGTCGTGGCTGTCCCCGCACTAGTGATCACTCCCCCACCTCTGAAATGCAGCTGCCTTGGGGTGGAACACTGCAGCTGCTGAGCAGCACACAACACCAGCATGTGGGGGGGGGGGGAGTGTGTTTTTAAGAGGGGAAGTGAAGAATAACTCCTACAATTGGACCTGCAGAAGGGAATAGGAGGGTAGCCAGAAAGTAACCAGAATTTGCCCCAGATACCAGGGCTCTTATTCCAAACATTTGCTAAAGTAGCTGTGGAATCACAATGGAAAGAAACGAGCCTACATGCATGGTGGGACTGGACTGGTTAGGGCTGCTAATGTAATGTAGGAATTTAATCTACCTGCTTCATTTCCAGCCTCTTCTTGGACAACACCCTCTCCCCCATCCCTCTGGGTGTCTCCCACTGGATCTTAACAAGTCGAAGGGAAAGCGGGGGGGGGGGGGGGGGGGGGGGGGAAGAAGAATGTAAAAAACTGAGCAGACACACTCCTGGGTTCAGAAAGTGATATTCATGGACATTTACACTTAAAACCAAAAACAAGGAAGAAGGGACATTTCAAGATTGCTCCATTTTTAAAACCCAGCTTCCCAGTTAGCGTAGAGTGGGATGGGGTGATCTGGGGAGGGAACTCCATGCCTGCCGGGGAGCGGCACCAGCTGGCTAAGGGGATGGGTGAGTGAGCCCTTCATCTCTAGGTCAGTCCAGATCAGGCCCCACCAGAAAGGAGTCCAGGGCAGCTGGCACCAGGAGCTGTTCCCATCTGGAAGCGGTTTGCTGTGGAGTCAATCCTTTTCCTAGCAGACGAGCAGCCTCATCACAACTGCCCTCCTTTGCTGGCAGAATTGGCCTGGAGATGGGACCCTCCTTTCCTGAGGGGCCCTGGCCCATGGGGGGAGAAGCACCCTGGCTGGGCAGCGTGGGGACACTAGCCCTGCCACTGGCCAGGTGGCGTGTGTTCTGCAAGGGGGCTTTGGTCAGCAGCGCTCTTCCCCAGCATTAAATCCCCCAAGAGGGAGCAGCAGGACCTGAAAACCTTCTCCCAGACTGTACCTCACTGGCAATCCCCAAGCTTTGCTGGGATCGATCCCCAAGGCCACTCCCCGAACGCCTCTCTGCTCTCCTGAGAGCCAGCGACTGAAACAGCATCGCCACCATCCACATTCCCCACTCCCCGCGGGCTGGAAGTGTCTTTGCTCAGCATGTATCCCTGAGGCTGAAGGGTGCCGGGCGGCTGCTCTGCAGGGGGCTGCTCAGGCACTGAGGCGGGGAAGCCCATCTGCTCCCAGCAGATGGAGGTTGGGATCATCCAGAGGCTGAGGCCCCGGCCCCGGCTACAAGAGGAACAAAGCCACACATTACAGAGGGGAGCTGGAGAGGGCTGCTGGGACCCCTTGGGTGCTACGGGTGAGAGACCCAGACACGTACACAGCAGAGGGTTTAGAGAGCACCAAACAGCTGACTGGGTGCCCTGCTGGGGGGGGGGGGGTTTGAAGAAAGCCCCCTTTGAGCATTGCAATGCCAGAGGTGGGCAGGCCGGTGGTCCGCCTCCTGCCATTGCAGATCTGTGAACCTCACAGTCCAATCTGGGATGACTAAGTCTTCACCAGCAGCCTGCCCCCCATCCAATGCCTCCTCCATCCTGCTCTTAACCGGATGCTTGCCCCAGGTCTCCCCTCCACACTCTGGTGGGTACGTTGGATTTAACCCTGTGATGCCAGGGGACACCTTGCATCACACGCTGCTTTCCTCTCACACCAGCACTGGCCAAACCCACGGCTGGGAGCCACATGGCTCCTCCAGGCCCTGATTCCACGTGGCCGACGTGCTAGGGGACCGCTGGGTCACAGAGAAAGAGGAAGCAGGTGCTGGGATGGGGCGGGGCCAGCTGCCGGGAAAGAACTCAGGGTCTGTCCTCACTAGCAATGTTAAAGTGCTGCACCAGTGCTGGGGGAGAGCTCTCCCCACGCTGCAAAAAACCCACCCCCTCAAGGGGCGCAGCTCCCAGCACTGGGGCACTGTCTACACTGGCACGTCACAGCACTGAAACTTGCAGCGCTCAGGGGGGTGTTTTGTCACTCCCCTGAGCGAGAAAGTGGCAGTGTAGATAAGGCCTCGACGAGCGCTCAGCCCCACCCAAGGAACTGGCTCCACAATCTCGGGGCGCTCCCCCATGGCACAGGGCTCTTGTCCTTACAAAGGGCCAGGCTTAAAGACGGCCTTTGCAATGGGGATTGGGGGGGGAGGACTTAAGCCCCCCTCCCCGCCCCTAATTCAGACTCTGGGGTTCGGAGCGTGGCCAGAGACCCAGAGGGGAGTCAAACAGACCTGCGCCCCTCTCGTTACCCACTCCAGGCTGCGCAAACATGGTTTCTTTCTGCCGCTGCAGACAGTCAACCCCAGGGCCCAGCCATGTTTGAGCTCCCCAGTGTGGATGGGCCCGGGTCTGCAACAGCACCCCACACCTGCCTCAGGCCCAGCCCCACGCCGTACCTCGGTGAGGAGGATGTACCGGATCGCCCCAGGAACAGGCTCCAGCACCACTGTGGAGAGCAGCTCCTCCGAGAGCAAGGCGGGCCCGGCCGGCAGCCCCCTCAGGAACCT